CCATACCAAAGTTAAACTAAAATAGTTGAAACCAATTGGAGAAAGTAGGCAGAAAAGCACATTTTTCATTACTGATAATGCTAGTAACCGTATTTCTCTCTCTCTACCCATTCCACACTTTGCAAGTACGTTTAATCGTGATGTAATTCTACTGCCAGTCTTTCGTGTTCATGCGATTTGTAAATTTTATTATTAAAATTCATTTAAGATTGTTTGAAGAAGGATCAACTTTAAAATATATATAAATTGACTTAAAAATATTTTGATAATAAATATTAAAAAAAGATAAAAAATTCTAGGCTCTTTCCCTGTTCAAAAGTCTTCGAATCAAAGTGTTTGCTTAGGGGGTGCATGGATTACATTTTGGGAAAATATCTCTTTTGAATTTCATAAGATTATTTTGAAAAAATAGTACCTATCAACTTTATCTTCAAAAGATCACGAGGAAAATCATCCCAAAACTAAGTTGTTTTAATAAATTTTTATTGAAAAAAATTAAATTATTCTATTTTCAAAGCATATATTAAGGTAATTTTTATTTTTTTTTAATTTTTTAAAAGTAGAGTGAACAAATACTAACATCTTATTTTGATATTTATATATTTTAAAATTATAATAAATAAAAGATAAAATTATTTTTTTATTTTTTATTTTTTCTTGCATGATTATCAATTTATAGCTTGAAATAGGATATGTCATTGGAAAGAAAGTCTTAAGCCCCCAAAAAAAAAAAACCATGTAATGCTATCAACATTGGTCCGAATAGAAAAAATTTAGTTTTTTTAAATAAGGTCTTGATTTTTAATTTTGTAAATAGAAAAATAAAAGAAGTCATTGTAAAGAAACTCGTAACACCCCAAAAGAAAACCATGTAATGCTATTAACATTGGTTCAAATAAAACGTATTCGATTTTTTTTAAATAAGATTTTGAATTTAAATTTTGTTCATAAAAAAATAGACACCAAAAAAATTTTCCCATTATAAGATTTAATGCGTCGATTCTACATTAATTGATAATTAATATATGGCTTTCGAATACCAAGAGAATAGTTAAAAAAAAAACTATGCAATGCTGCAATTTCAACTGGTGTTAACCCTGACTATACACACAAAAATG